TAAAAGCTCCAAGAAAAATTTGCATAAATACATATGCAGTTTATCTATACTTGATATATAATTTCCTCATGCAGACTCAATTATATGAAATCCTAGTACATGGTATATAGGCAGGTTATTAAATTTAGGCTACACCTGTAGTTGATATTTAAAATTACTGTTGTGAGGTTAGCAGATTCAAAAGTGACCAACATTTAAAATATTTTCTTCAATATAAGGAATAGGTAAGAGGTAAGAATGTTTGTTGTTTGCAAAATGCAGATAAAGTATGTTTATTAAAGACATTAAGTTATCTTTAAGGAAAGTCCAACTTGAAACATAACAAATACTTAGCATATTTATTTCTAGGTAAGGTAAACACTGCAGCCTAGTGGTCTGACATGATGGCAAAATGCCTGTAGTAGGCATTTCAATTCTGCTACTTATTTGCTAAGAAAACTCTACAAAGGTCCCAATGTTTTCAATTCCAAGTAAAACTGTACTCTCATCATGTATGAATAATAAATGCTTTATCAAATTAGTAATGATAATAATAGTTAACGTTTATTGAGCCTTTACTGTGTACCCAACATTATTCTTTTAATCTTTACAATCCTGTGAAGTAAGTATAATTTTTATCCCAATTTTATAGATGAGAAAATCAAGACCTAAAAAGGCCAACGAACTTGAAGAAGGTTAAATGGAAATCTCAAATAAGAACAGCAAGTTGTCACAATTTTACAGAGATTAAGATGTGCAACAAGCATAGTAAAGCAGACACACGTGGCATTGCATTACAGATTCAGGCTTTTCTGGGAGTAGCTACAACACCCCAATCTCAGATCTGTCTCAAAGAGTGACGACAGCAGGTCCTGTTAGCACAGAAGACAAGACCCAAGACACCAAAGTACTACTCAGTTTGCTTCTTTCCTGCTGCAGAGGCTGCAGGAATAATTTAAGAATAGGAACACTGATATAAAGAAATAATGGAAATCAAAGAGTGACTTGGCAAAGGCATTAACAAAATTACAATGGAAGATACACCAGTCTCAGGAAACTAAAAAGAAAATAATTCTGGTTCTTTCCTCTTGGTAATTTTGAGTTGAGGAATCAAAGCCCTACTGACGTTCCTTGAATGAAAGGATCTCTATAAGAATAATGGTAATACTTCAGATTTTACACCTTACAAAGTATTTTTATGTACATTACTTTTACTTGATTTTTAAAATAATTATGTGACATAGAGTAGGAACTATTAATCTCATTTTACAGTTGCAGAGGAGGAAACAAAGACTTGCCTAGAGCCACACCATTAGTAATCAAGGAGGTTGGATAATGAGCTCAGGTTTCTGTACCTTTGAACATCACCACCTTTTTTACTTATTTTTTTTAATTGAAGTACTGTTGACATACAATATTAGTTTCAGGTTACAACAGAATGATTTGACATTCGTATATATTATGAAATGATCACCATACACCTAGTTACCATCTGTCACCATAGAAAATTAGAATATTAACTACATTCCCTATGATGTACTTTTCATCCCCATGACTTATTTTATAACTGAAAGTCTGTACCTCTTAATGCGCTTTGTGTCTTTTGTCCATTCCTCCTCCAATCCCCTCCCCTCTGACAACCAGTTCCGTGTCTGTTATGTTTTTTTAGATTCTACATATAAGTGATATCACACAGTATTTGTGCTCCTCTCTCTTATTTCATTTAGCATCACTCTAGGTCCATTCACGTTGTCACAAATGGCAAGATTTCATTCTTTTTTATGGATGAGCAATATTCCATTGTGTATAAATATCACAACTTCTTTATGGACACTTGGGTTGCATCCATATCTTTGCTATTGTAAATAATGTAAATAATGCTGCAGTAAACATAGGGGTGCACATATCTTTTCAAATTAGTGTTTGCAATTTCTTTGGGTAAATACTCAGAACTGAAATTACTAAATCACATGGTATTTTATTTTTAATCTCTTGAGGAATCTCTACACTGTTTTCCACAGTGGCTGTACCAATTTACATTCTCACCAACAGTGAACAAGGGTTTGCTTTT